CATCAAGAGAACCAACTGACCGGCGTTCACTTGCGACAGATACCTTACTCTCTAAGAGGGCGTACTCACACTGGCACTTTTTTTTTGACCAATCCCGGGACGCAATTGTGGTCGGAGACATCCAGGGCGTACCAGACCAGAATTATGGTTAGATGCATCCAAAAGGTTGTACCAGAATTATGGTTAGGTGCATCCAAAAGGTTGCACCAGAATTGTGGTCAGATGCATCGAAAGAGGGCGCAGTGCGACTACGCTCTGAAAGTCGGCAAACTGAAAATGACAGATTGCGAAGGGAAAAAGAAGAGAAGAACTGGATCGCCATTCACCCATCGCATCCCTTAGATTTTTGGCACGGTGCCACGTTGGCAGAAAAAAAATAAAAATAAAAAATAAAAATAAAAAATAAAAATAAAAAATAAAAATAAAAATAAAAATAAAAATAAAAATGGGAACACATGTCAACGGTGTGCTCCAGCGCCATCTGCTCCACCTTCTCACTTCTCATCCGCTGCTTTGACTTTGACCTTCGATTGCCAATCCAAGGGCATACTCACACTAGGTCTTCACTGCATGAATCTGGCCTGAATTCTACATCGCCATGGAAGTATCTGGTTGTAATTGCGTCCAGAGCTCAGTCAAAAAAGTCTTCTGTGAATAGTAGAGACTCTAAGCACACCACTTTAAGGGCTGTACGCTCTATGGTCCAAAATACCTCCTACATCCCTACTACCAAGAAAAGAGAACACAGAGGACAAAAACAAAAAGAGGGTCCCTACTACTGTAGTAGGGGTCCCTTCCAGTTACACACACAACACATTGAGCTGGTGCTCTGTCAATGGGGGGGTTCACCTTCACAAAACGGGATTCAGCCGGTAGTGAAAGAACATGGGAAAAGAACACGAACCCGGCACGGAAGTGCCAGTGATGATTCAAATATTTTCGAGCGCACAACACAAAGCCAGCCAACCGTGAGCCCAATAAAAGCCGCTCGGTTTCCGAACTCGTAGGCCACATCCACATGCAATCCGAAGAAACGCGCGGTAATAAGACGATGGTTTGAACTCAAGTCAGAGTTCATTACCTGGACATTCCACAAGTACTACCACTACACCACTACTACTACTGCTGCTGCTTGTACGCAATTTACGGTACTGGAAGGCGATTTATAACAACAAGCCCGTTACACACCGTTACAGCTTCCGACTACTGAAGGGGGGAAGTTAGAGTCAATTTCAAATTCAAAGTTCAAACTAACCATGGTTTCAACTCTACCGGTAGTTACGATTAGCCAGGGTTTGATAAATTTACTGGCTGAATTTCTTGCGTTAACTCTCTAAAGAGTCTAAACCATGGTCTTAACCGACGTGCTTTACTGGCTGAATTTCTTGCCGTAACTCTCTAAAGAGTCTAAACCATGGTCTTAACTCTAGAGTCTGAACCATGGTCTTAACCTGCTAGCGCTATCAAAGTGCGGTAAGACGTACTTTACTGGCTAAATTTCTTGCGGTAACTCTAGAGTCTAAACCATGGTCTTAACCGGCTAGCGCTATCAAA